CCTCCTCCCACCGCGTGGCTACCCCCTCAACCCTCCCCCCTCCCCGTGGCTAACAGCGGGGAACATTTCTGTTCAGCCACAGGCAAACAGCCCAGCAGGAACGGGCACCTCTGAGTGTCCCCTGAAGAAAAGCACCCTATTTCAACCAGATGACCATGAATGATATCTCACTCTCCTGAGGATAATACAGAGAGATAAAGAATGGATGTTTGAATGCCAGCAAACATACACTGCAATGCTTTGTTGTACAATGATTCCCGAGTACGTGTTACTGGCCTGGAGTGGTAAAGTGTCCTACCATGGAAGACGCAATATGGCTGCCCTCCCCAGAAACCTTTTGCAAAGGCTTTGGGAGTACATCCAGGAGAGCTGCGAATTCCAGGGCAAATTAATCCTTTCACATGCTTGCTTTTAAAGCATGTATAGTATTTTAAAAGGTACACTCACCGGAGGTCCCTTCTCCGCCTGCCGGGTCCAGGAGGCAGCCTTGGGTGGGTTCGAGGGGTACTGGCTCTAGGTCCAGGGTGAGAAACAGTGCCTGGCTGTCAGGAAAACTGGTTTCTCCACTTGCTTGCTGTGAGCTATCTACAACCTCATCAGCATTATCATCTTCTTCGTCCCCAAAACCTGCTTCCATGTTGCCTCCATCTTCATTGAAGGAGTCAAACAACATGGCTGGGGTAGTGGTGGCTGAACCCCCTAAAATGGCATGCAGCTCATCATAGAAGCGGCATGTTTGGGGCTCTGACCCGGAGCGGCCGTTTGCCTCTCTGGTTTTCTGGTAGGCTTGCCTCAGCTCCTTAAGTTTCAGGCGGCACTGCTTCGGGTCCCTGTTATGGCCTCTGTCCTTCATGCTCTGGGAGATTTTGACAAAGGTTTTGGCATTTCGAAAACTGGAATGGAGTTCTGATAGCACGGATTCCTCTCCCCATACAGCGATCAGATCCCGTACTTCCCGTTCGGTCCATGCTGGAGTTCTTTTGCGATTCTGGGACTCCATCATGGTCACCTCTGCTGATGAGCTCTGCATGGTCACCTCTGCTGATGAGCTCTGCATGGTCACCTGCAGCTTGCCATGCTGGCCAAACAGGAAATGAGATTCAAAAGTTCGCAGTTCTTTTCCTGTCTACATGGCCAGTGCATCTGAATTGACAGTGCTGTCCAGAGCGGTCACAATGGAGCACTCTGGGATAGCTCCCGGAGGCCAATACTGTCGAATTGTGTCCACAGTACCCCAAATTCGACCCGGCAAGGCCGATTTAAGCACTAATCCACTTGTCAGGGGTGGAGTAAGGAAATCGATTTTAAGAGCCCTTTAAGTAAAAAAAAAGGGCTTCATCATGTGGACGGGTGTAGGTTTACATCGATTTAACACTGCTAAATTCGACCTAAAGTCCTAGTGTAGACCAGGGCTTAGGCTAAGGCCTTTGGCTAAGCAACAGAGGCAGCCATAAGCTGGGAAGAGAACGGTCACATCCTCACATTCCAAACTAGTCACATTGAAATAAGGTGCTAGTGGGCTGTTAGGAATACAATCCTGTCCTGATAATGCCTGTCACCCCAGAGAAAGGGAAGTGCCTAGAAGATGTAAAAGCAAACTTAGTTTGATCCTGTCTGGCAAGAACTCACTTATCAATAGCTGGGATGTGAAATCCTCATTTCTGTGTTTGTTCTATCACTGTAGTCCCCATTTCCTTATTGTTTGTCTGCATAATCTCTGGTTCTGTGATTGTTCCTGTCTGCTGTATAATTAATTTTGCTGGGTGTAAACTAATTGAGGTGGTGGGATATAACTGGTTAAATAATCATGTTACAATATGTTAGGATTGGTTGGTTAAATGTCAGTAAAATGATTGGTTAAGGTATAGCTAAGCAGAACTCAAGTTTTACTATATAGTCTGCAGTCAATCAGGAAGTATGTGTGTGGGGGGGGGGAATGGGAACAGGGAATGGGGGTGGGGAATTGGAATCATGTTTTGCTAAGGGAGGGAATGGGAACGGAATGGGGGTGGGGAAATTGGAATCATGTTTTGCTAACGGGGGGGATGGGAACAGGGACACAGGTGTAAGGCTCTGTGGTGTCAGAGCTGGGAAGGGGGACACTAAGGAAGGAAACTGGAATCATGCTTGCTGGAAGTTCACCCCAATAAACATCGAATTGTTTGCACCTTTGGACTTCGGGTATTGTTGCTCTCTGTTCATGCGAGAAGGACCAGGGAAGTAAGTGGGTGAAGGAATAAGCCCCCTAACAGGCCTGTGCTGCATTGGCAGTGAAAAACCGCCACCCAGCCAGTTTATCCATTCCCTCAGGAGTCCCTTGTTTTGAGGGAATTCCCATTTGCTGTTGGACAGGCATTGCCACTCAGTGCAGCTTCACCTATTCCCTCCCCACCCACAGACTCCCCAGAGATACTCTAATCTGTACCTCAGGACCAACCTCACACCCACTGGCCTCCAAATCAGGGAACTGCAATGGTGCTTAAAACCACCTTTCCTCCCAGTACCTCTCTCACTCCCGCCACTCTCTGAACTAGACCAAAGGCTGGTCTGTGCCCCATTTTCTTTTGCAGTGATTCTACCGAAATTAGGCTTTTTTATAGTGTTGTGATGTTAGTTAACTGGCCAAACCCTGCCGCCATTGAAGTCAGTGTCAGAAATACCACTGATTTTGATGGGAGCATAATTAGGTACAATATGTTAGGGATTTTAGGGGGCTGGGGAAGTTGTTTTGTTTTAATCATTGACAGTTTGTAATTTTTAATTTAGAAGGTTTGGGTGTTACAAAGTCTCTTTCTCGGTGTTCCTTGAGTGGCTCCTAATACAGTGGAAAATATCTCTGTTCTTGTCATATGTCAAAATGTTTTAATAACATTAATGAGGAAATTTAGAAATACAGTAGCAGGGGGAAGAAAATCCACATGGGAAACAGGCCCATTAATAAGTGAGGAGGGAAATTGGACTAACAATGCTCCCACAATGGCCCAGATACTGCATCATTTTGTAAAAAAAAAAAAAATTAAAAATATGAAAATGAAGGGAAAAAAGAACAAGCAATCAGAATGTCATGATGTTTTCTCACCACATCCTTTCCCTTTCCAAGCATGTGAGAGGGAAGAATATGCACCGTGAAGAACTGGGAGAGGTACCAAAGGACTGCAACAAATAAATAAACATGTTAGCAATGTTCAAAAAAGGGAAAGACAGACGTCTTGGCAATTACCATCTGGTCACTTACTTCAGTCTCTGGTGAAACAATGCCACTAATGTGCAAAGAAAAACTATGCAAGTATAAGGAAGGTCATGGAATTATAAACAATAAACGGAAGTTTATAAAGAGCAAATCCAGTTAGACAAAATTGATCCTTTTTTCTATAAAAACACAACACTGGTACATGAAGGGAATGTTGTAAAAGTGTCAGCTGTTGATTTTTGGAAAAGCATTTTTATATAGAGGTGGTGATGGGGTGTATAAAACACACACCAGCTAAGAAGCGGTTAACTAGAGCCTGAGAGCTTTGTTAGTCCCACCTGGTAACACCTTCAGGGTGTGTCAAGCTCAGGGAGGAGTTAAAAGGAAGAACTTCAGAGTGGTTAGAGGAAGGAAACCCAGAAGAGAGAGGGTCTGGAATGCCCCCTCTGTGGGAAGGGCCTGACACAAGCCAGCTAAGGAGAGAACTGTGGGAAAGCTACAGTTAGCACTGGTGGTGGGCCTCAAAAAGGAAGCAAAGACTCTCGGAAGGCAGCCCCGTGGGTTGGTGTGCTGTAGAAGAGCAGAGAATTGGGAAGAACCATCAATGGACTAAGACTCAAGCCCAAATGGGTGGAAGTTGGTTAGATTGTATTTTTGTCTAGTTTTGCTTAGGGTCTCAATGGAAAGCCCTGGGACCTGTTGCTCTGGAGAAGAATGAGACTAAAGAGAAGCCCAGGAGGGGAGAAGGATGTTGTGTTAATTATCATTACTTTGTCAGACATTATTTGTTTGGGACATTGATAGAATCATAGAATATCGGGTTGGAAGGGACCTCAGGAGGTCATCTAGTCCAACCTCCTGCTCAAAGCAGGACCAATCCCTAATTTTTTTTTGCCCTAGATCCCTAAATGGCCCCCTCAAGGATTGAACTCACAACCCTGGGTTTAGCAGGCCAATGCTCAAACCACTGAGCTATCCCTCCCCCCTAGTGCTACCTGACTGGAGGGGCCAGATTTCAGCTGAGAATCTGACAGTCTTCAGCAGTTTTACTTGGGAAAAAAATCTTAATTGGTATTGATATAAATGCTGTCTGGAGGACTGAAAAATGGCTGTCGGCCCATAGACAAAGAGCAGCACATACAGCAATGTATTGAGTCAAGTCTGGTATGGAAGAAGGAATTGGGGGCCGGAGGGATTGGTATTCTACCTGGTCTTATTTAATATCTTCATTATTGATCTGTGAAAGAGGGAGAAAAACATGTTAAAGTTGCAACTGACACTTAATCAGGCGGTATCAGCAACACCAGTGAGGGCAGATTAAAAACACACAGGGACCAAGATAAATTAGAAATAAGAAAATGAGATTCAGCAAGGAAAATGCATGCTAATATAGGAAATATAATCTAACCCCAAAAGGAATAAAGTAAGAATGGATTCAGAGATTATAAAGAGGTCAGACTAGATTATCATAATTGTCTTGTCTGGCCTTATCTATGAACCTCTATATATAGATTTTAAAATGTCCAGTGATGGAGACTCCACTACAACCCTTGGTAAGTTGTTCTAATGGTTCATTGTCCTCACTGTTAAAAATGTGCAGCTTATTTCCACTCTGAATTTGTCTAGCTTCAACTCCCGGCCATTGGATTTTATTCCAGCCGTTGGCTTTATTTATAACCGAAGACTGAAAAGATTGTACTATGTGTAACTTGGTGACAGATTGACTAAGCAATGGATCGCCATTAATAACCATCTACAGGCATTTTGGGGAGGTAAATACAGGCATTTGGGAGCAGAAATTATTTAGGGCATGTCCTTGGAGTATAAGCAGCACAATGAGATGAAAATGAGCAAAGGAAAATTAGGCCATAGATCAGGTAAAAAAATCAACAATTAAACTATTAGATTGTGGAATAGTTTCCCGAGGAAAGTGATGGATGTGCCACTACTAGACCCATTTAAAGTGGTCTAGACAAAGCCCTCTTTGAAAGGAACAATCCTTTACTGGTTGAGAGATAGATGAGATGACATAAAGGGCTAGATTCTCTGTTCCTCTTTTCCTGCACCCAGTTAAAGGAATTCTGGCCCCCAGTCTAGGAACAACACACACATACACACACACCACAACACAATTTAGGCTATCTCTGGGTTTCCTGGTTTGTAGCAGCCCTCTAGGACTGTTATGCTGACACAGACCATCCAGAGCAAGTGTGCTCACTTAGGCTGTCCCCAACCTTCCTCCAAAACAGCAGCTGGGAGAAGAGCCAGCCCCGAGAATTTGACAAGGGTAGTATCTAGGGACTGACACAAACTAAAGGGGCACAATGCAAGTGGGATTCGGGGCCAAAATAATCAGGGGAAAGGATGGAAAGGAGGCCAAGATTCAAGGATGAGAGCTAGTGGGCAAGGGAAGTATGGTAGGTGCGTCTGAGGTCACACAAATAGAGCAGTAACAATGGGAGCTTCCCACATCTGCCAATCTTTGAAAGCTATTTTTACAGGGAGTAAAACCAGGTATTCACCATTTCTGACCCTACCAATCAAATTAGCCCACCATACATCTCAGCTCCCGGGTTTAAGCTAGCCGGCCTATCCCAATAATGCTTATCTTTGAAGACTGTCCAAGACCTCATCTTCATCAAAAGAGATCATGTTGACACATATATGGGTCCTGATTACCCACTGTATCACTCCAGCCTTCCATCAGTGAAACTCCATTGATTTCATGGGAGTCACAGAGACATAGAACTGTACTAATGCAGTGGTGAATCTGGCTCACGGTCTGGAAAGTGTGGAAGTTTGGCATTTCCTCCTGTATGCCTTCTTGAAAGTGAAGTCAGCAGGTACCGAAAACACTTGGGCATCCTCTCTGCTTCTGCATGCAGAGTTGTCAATGCAAAATAATATAGTAGAACAAAAAGCATCTCTGTAGCAGGGTCATGAGAGTGAGAAAGAAAGTGCCAAGAGAACATATACAGCTGAATACCCTGCTTTCACATCTTGGTAACAGTTCAAATGATAGAGCATAACTATCATGTAATTACTACTTAGTTACATGGTGCTATGATTGTCAGAGGCCTTACTCAGTGGAGTAAATCCCTCCTCACCCCTTGCTCCCCTGTTTGGCCCTGCACAGACTGTATCTCACTCACACCATTATAGTGCGTGAGCAGGAGCCACTTCTCTGATGCTCCAACTTTTGAGCAAGTGAGCGGGGAGAGGGCAGGGAGTGGGAGGAGCTCTGGCTGGCCAGGTCCACCACAGGGAGTGAGAACTCCATGAAAAGGGGTGAATTAACTTACTCCCTGCCCACTGCAGGAAGGAGCAGAGGAGGAATTATAATTCTGAGCCCAAAAACCATTCTTTGGCCTGCTACTGGGGTGGTGCAGCTATGCCCGGCCCTTTGCTCAGGGCAGATTGTAAAGAGAGACGCTAGCCCTTGGCAACTTGATATATTACTACATATTATTACATGGTTTAGCGGATTCTGCTGAAATTCAGATCTCTCTGGGCCAAATCCTGAAGTCCTTCATCCTATTTTACTCAAGTAAACTGCCACTCAAGCCACTGGGATCTTTATCGGACCCTGAACCTCTTCTCTTCCGTAGCTAGTGGGAAAATTAAACAAGGCTTCTGGGCACAAGGAAAATTAGAGAGAGACTTATGCATCTTGGCATGGCAAGTGCATATCACAAAAAGTGGTCAGAAAATGGTAAATATTTTTCATTAAAAAATCATAAGAAATAAAATCTTTCTCTCTTTTAGGAAAATTTTCATCGAAATGTTCAATTCTTTGATGAAAACTAAAAAAACCACACTTTTTTCAGTTTTCCTTTTTTCATCAGAAAACTAGAAATGTTAAATGACAATTTTTCTCTGAAAATTTTTTTGACTGAAAAATGTTGATCAGCGAAGTGCAAAATCAGACAGTCAGTTCTTAGGGATTTCATATTCAAATACTCAACATGATGGACAGTTCAGAGTTGACCACATTCAACTATTCTTTGAATAGTAAGAAAGTCTCTCTAGGCTCACTGAGCAGTCTTCAGGCCTAATTTGCATTTCCATCAGCGGCCCTTTATACTACTCTGGCAATGTAAAGAAATCTTAAAGTATGTGTACATTACAATTATGGCCCTTTACACTGTCAGAATGGTATAAAGGGGGGGGCCTTGGTATAAGTACAAATAAGGCCACTCATATTCTGAATCACGTCAGGCCCAAATCTGCCATCCCCCGTGAACCGGAGTAATTCCATTCCTTCAAATGGACGGTTCATATGTGCAAGTGTTGTGTGGAGTAGTTGCCATCATGCATGGACGTGGGTGTGGCTGCAGAGACCAACGGTCAGCCTCCATTCTGGAAGATGGGGTTCTGGTTCTGTACAGAGCTACAAGCTGTACTCAATATTAGGTTTTGGTCATGACTGTGTTAGAATTATCTAATGGTTATCGAAAAGTAATGGTCATGTTAAATACAAGCTCTCCACACCTTAATAAGAAAATCACAAGCTTCTGCAGGCCTGGGTTTTCAGAGTGGTCTTCATTTTAAAAAGGAGATCCAGGAAGAGTGAGCAGACACTGTGCTGTCAACGTCTTCAGCAAATAACAGTTCATTTTCAGCTCTGGGGTAATCTGTCCCTGCTGGGTTCATCAAGCCAAAGGACATCTAGATTTCAACCTCAGGCATGCAACAACGGCAATGTCTCACAAGGCCCCCTCCATTTAGGATTTAGCATTCACAAATATCTGAATATATTTACATGCATTTATTTCCTTGACTTTCATAATGATTAATGTTTTTTTCAAAAAAGAAATCTGAGCAACAATTTCTCCTCTACTGAAATTTCTCAAACTAGCATATATTTTGTCTGGGTCCATACACCATTATGCAGTCCATAAAAATGTGAGGATATTCAGTGTGGAACCACCGCCATATAGGTGCAGTAGGTACAGTGTCTCAAAAATGAATTCTCTTTGTGTCTCTGACATTTCCAGGAGTGATACAATAATGTTCCACTGCTTCCTTATTACTAATTCCACACCAATTTGCAGCTGAGATGCAGAAACCTGTCATATAAGGTGAATTTCTCTAATCCTTCCTTCCCCATAAAACCATGAACCCATGCCCTTCAGGAGATCAAGCCAAATCAATATAATGTTAGATCTGGAAGTAAATATCCAGAGAAACCATTTAGCAGCTTCATTGTTGCATGTATACAGTAAGTTGCTCTGGGGTAATGTTTTGTCATTCTTTTTTACACTTGACAAATTTTAATGATTATATTGCCAGGATGGGTGTACTAGAAGATGTCATTAAACTCCTACCAGGCTTCCTGTTTGCAAACTGCCTTGTTAGGTCTATTTAACTTACAGCACATTTAACTAATACCAGGACACAATCAGCATTTTGATTTATAATTGGGGGTGGGGGGAATACATCTCCAACTTTGGGGGCTAGGGATTTTTTTCTTTTGCCTTGATGATCTGTGAGGTATTTGCATGGCTAATAGGAAATGTATTTCTCTCTTCTTCCCCTCCTTCACATGCACACACACACAGTGTCTCTCTCATGGCTTAGACATGACCACAAGGGGCACCGAGTAAAGCAAGTAATTCACATTCTGTGGCCGGTCTTCCTGGCTTTTATCACCATCCACATATCAGGACCGCTAGCTTCAGCCACTTCTAAGACTCTCATTAATCTTAATTCATCCTCCATCTACCTTAAAACATGCCTTGCAGACATTTTTTTTCCCCTTAGCCCTTTTAAACCATACTCAATCTCCCTGGCTAAAGACAAATTCATCATCCTCCTACCGCAGCATCCCTTGTCTGGGAATATTTCAATCCTTTAAGAAAATCTCCTTGGGCCTTCACTGTGCCACTTCTTCAGACCCTGTATTTCTAGCTTTCCAAAAAGGCCACAATTGTTTCATTAATTACCAATGTTGCCACTGCTGCAATATAAATCTCCAGCCATGAGGGCTAAGTACAATTGTTTCAGAAAAGATGACTTGTCTCTTCACACACTGTGTCACATCCTCATTCATCACCCTCAAGTGATCACAACTGAATTACTCTCCACCACTGCCACTCATTTTTCAGGCCTCTAGCTAATTCATGGAGGCTTGTTAAAATGCTGCAAGCAAAGGTGCCCTTCTGATCTTTCCAAACATGCACTAAATGGTTTGAATTTATTCATTGGACTGAGCTCATCCTGGGTCATGTCTCTTTTTTTGTGTGTCTCATTGACTTTTAAATTTTCATTAAAGCTGCAGCCTCTTCTTTTGTCTCAAGTCAGCTCTGCTGAGGAAAGTTGCTGCTTGAAGAGTGGGGAGGAAAATCTACATGAAGCAATCACAACCATGGCAAAAACAAAACCTCACAGACATGCAATTAGCATTGTGCAGGGACTCTAGGGGCTTTGACTAGCAGGAGTTTGGTCTTTGAAACATTTGGGGACCAGTCCTGCCTTCCTTGCAGTCAATGGGGGGGGGATTGCCTGTGTAAGGAGTGAAGTGTCTGGTCCTTGCTGTTTACCTAGAGCTGTGCTTTGAATTCAACCCAGAAGGTTCGGTGTAAAAAAGAAAATCACTGCTAAAGGAGTGTTTCGAAGAACCCATTTGACAAAGCCTGATTAGTTTAGGTTTCAAAGCTTTCTTACATCTCCGTCTCTTGTATATTGAATTTCCAAGTGGAGAGATGGAGGAGAGTCAGAAGAGGAAATGGAGAGGTCTTGCAAGTCAATACAGGTTAGGGCAAAAGCCAGACTGATTGAAGGAGTGACACAGTGCTCGCTGCTGTCATTTTGAAAATGAGACTTGCGAAATCACTGCAATGAAAGGAATATTGAAAAAGCTTCCCTTACTGATCTC